GGCAAAACTTCGCGCGCGCGGGCCGCACGCCGGGGCTCACGAAGTTCTGCCAGCTGTACGCGGTGCCGGACGCGCCGCTGCGGCTGGTCGACAGTCCGGGCATGATTTTCCCGGTGGTCGGCGACTCGCGCGCAGACTTGCTGTGCTACAACGTGATCGCGGTGCAGCGCGAGCGCGGCAGCTTAGCGCAGGTCGTCGCGCGCGTGCTGCAGAAATGCGCAGCCGCGGTGTTCGCGCACTACTTCGGCGCGGCGCCGTCGGAGCTCGCGGCGGAGCTCGCGGCGGAGCGCTGCGAGCGCGCGCGCGCGGCGCGCTTCCTGGAGGCGCTGGCCGCGCAGCGCGGCATGCGCTGCGCGGGCCGCGGCGGCCAGCTCGACGTGAACCGCGCGGCGCAGCTGGTGTTGCGCGACTTTTTGGAGGGCACGAGTTTCTTCTTCTGCGACGAGTGTCCGGGCTGCGACCCGGCGCGCTGGCGCGGGCCCGCGCCGGCCGCCGGCGGGTGCGCCGAAAATTGATTATTTTATCATTTAGCGTCGCAAATGTGTTCTGGCGATCGCGAGCGGACGGCAGCGAAATAGGCGATGAACATCTTCCGACTCTGCGGCGACATGCTGCACCTGCTGAGCATCTTGATGCTCATCTACAAGCTGCGCAGCTCTCGCAACTGCTCCGGCATCTCGTCGAAGATGCAGGAGCTCTACGCGCTGGTCTTCTTGACGCGCTACGTCGACCTGCTCTACTACCACATCTCGTTCTACAACACAGTGATGAAGCTCACCTTCATCGGCACGAGTCTGTACATCGTGTACTTGCTGCGGCTGCAGCAGCCGATCAGCAAGACGTACGACGCGCAGGCGGATGACTTCCCGTACGCGCGCTTCCTGATCGCGCCGGCGGCGGCGCTCGCGCTGCTGCCCTTCGGCCGCTACCGCGCGCACACGCTGCTCTGGCGCTTTTCCATTCTGCTGGAGGCGGTCGCGATCCTGCCGCAGCTGCGGCTGCTGCAGCGCTACCGCGTGGTCGAGAACCTGACCTCGCACTACGTGGCGACGATGGGGCTGTACCGGCTGCTGTATATACTCAACTGGGTGTACAGGTACAAGTACGAAGGCTTCGTGAACTACTTCGGAGTCGTGGGCGGCGTCGTGCAGGTAGCGCTGTACCTGGACTTTTTTTACTATTACTTCCAGGCGCGCATCAACGGCGTGAAGCTGATTCTGCCCTACGCGAACCACGTGTAACTAGGCCGCGGGGCAGCTCAGCGCGCCGGAGCGCAAGTCTTCCTGCAGCGCCTTCGGGCGCTTGCCGTTGACGGTGCAGCCGATCGAGTCGGCGGTGCCGAGCACCTCCATGACGCTGCCCTGCAGCGTGCGCGACGGGATGCCTTTCGCGCTCTCGCGCATCTGGCGCGCGATGTCGAGCACGGTTTCGAAATTGAGATTGCCTGAATGCTTGATGTTTTTGACCTTCTTGCGGTCGCGCAGCGGCTCCTTCAGCGCCGAGAGCAGCAGCGAGCTCGAGGTGTTGATGATTTTGCAGCTGATCTGGCGGTTCTGGATCGTCAGCTCGACCGTCACGCGCACGCCTTTCCAGTCCTTGGTGGCCTTCACGATTTCGTCGGCGGCCTTCTTCGGCGGGATGCCCAACGGGCCGAGCTTCGGCGCGAGCACCGCGGAGCTCGGCGGCTCGCCGCCGTACGCGCGCACGTAAACGTAGGTGATGGCAGTCGGGTCGAACTTTGCAGGCATCTTGCTCGAATAATTTGCGTAAATATTGCGTTCTGTCTAGCGCGGCGAGGCGAGCGCGAGCTGCGCGGCGTAGCAGCGCACGCAGGCGAGCTGCTCCAGCTGCGCCAGCGCGCCGCAGTCCAGGCAGAACTGCGCGCGGCAGGTCGCGCAGCAGCGACCGCCGCTCGCAAAGGCGCCGCCGCACAGCGCGCAGCGGCCGCGCGCGCCAGCAGGCAAGCACTCGAAGCGCGTCTCGCTCGCCGGCGGCTCGTAGAGCTTCTGCAAGTCGCCCGCGCCGATGATCAGCAGCGAACAGAAGCACTGCGCGGGCAACTGGCAGAGAAACGCGTGGCAGCGCGGGCAGTTGAAGCCCGCGGCGGCGG